CCATCTCGCCGGGTCACTATACTCGAGGAACATTTAGGCAGGGTTGCTAAGGCATTCTACTTCTCCCTCACACGTACAATCATCACCATTAATCGTCGTGGGTTTGCTCCTACTTTGGGGTCTCGTAATCCCAGCGTTTTCTCTCAAGTTCAATGCTACAAACCATAACAAGCGTACATATTTGGGTGGATTGATTCGTACGAGTGTAGTGATTTACAACACTTGGGGGAAAGAGAGCTGTGCTCAACAGACTGAATTGGCCCCCGCTGAGCTATTCTATCTGGATAGCTTGACGAAATGTGCCAATGGTTTCTGGAGAGGAGTAGAAGATCCTTAGATACGTTTCCTTTACATCCTCACATCAACCATCCATCCAAGCGGAACAATATCTCCGCAGAAACTAACACCTGTCTCCCAAACCTCCCTCAAACCGACCACGTTCTGTCCCATCCTTCACATGTACGACGGGTGACGAATATTGCACCTGAGCAATGTCTCGCGGTGCTCTCTATCTGTACCACACATTAGCATTCGTGTCCACGGGATGCCTAGAAGCGGATATGCTACTCACCGGATGAGAGATCAGTCAACATCATCAACCTTGAGTGAGGAGACCATGCCCTCGATACAATCAAGCTCATGTTTGGCCTTGGCCTCGATCTTAGGCTTAGCCTTCTCTCCACCACCAGCCTTGCCCTTGCACTTGCCCTCGGCAGCTTGCTTTCCCTCCCGCTTCATTCTTTCCGCCTCGTAGTACGCATTCGTGGCATATTCCTTGGCCTCGTCAAGAGACGCGGCCACGTGGAGCACGCCGGTACACATGCCATCAGGAGTCATCTCAACAATCTTAATCTCCGCCGGCAGCTTGTCCTCGTGGGTACTGTTGCAAGGGGCGAAGACAACCGCCTCGTCGACCATCTGTGGCCTGCTGATGAGATAGGCAATATGCTCCCCCTTATCCGCGCGCGCCATGATATCTGCTTCCACAAGACGCATCTGTGTCTCAACCTCACGAGTAGCACCGAAGCCGCCAGCCATTCTCTCCGCGGGCGTGGCACCGCAGAGGATCGCCTGCAGAACCGTGTCTTTTTCTCTCTCCTCCTCGGTGCGGCTGCCGCCGATATGGTCAAACACGTGGGGATTCTTGCGGTACCATTGCTCCGCCATGATTGAGCGGACGGTGGGTATCTTGTCGCGATGCGGTCGGAAGAGCTCCTCGATGCGGGCGGTGACGGTCTCCTTGCCCTCAGCGATCCAGCTCTGGATGGCGGCGGTGGAGACGCCGTGGTCGAGGACGAGGTGGCGATAGAGGATGAGGAGGTTGCGTCTGTCGGCCATTGTGAAGACGCAGTTGAAGCGAAAGGCTTCGATGACGTCCATGTCGGTGGGGACGGTGTTGCTTGCGACGTGGGCGCGGAGGGCCATGGCTGGGGTTCTGTTGGCGCGGGCCTGACGCTGAGCTTTGGCAGCTGGTAACATGGCGCTGGCGACGTAGGCCTGCTTGTCAATTTTGGAGAGCGTCATGGCGGCGTGACGGATGTAGATGCAGTGGTCTTTCTCGGCGTTGTTTGGGAATTCCAGTCAGGAATATGCACCGAGGTTGGTCTGGTCATTAGGGAAAGTCAGCTGTGAGATTGTAGATCGAGAGATGTGTGAAGAGTCTGGCAGCAGAGAAAGACGTCGTCCTTACGATGTTAGAAGTCGTTTCTGACTTGGGAAGCAAGTGCGGCAGAGAGTTTGTTGTTGAAGGTAGGTAGGAAGAAGAGAAGGAAGGTGTCTTCCTAGAAGCCCAGAAGAGAAGGAAGGAGAAGAGGAAGGAGAAGAGGAAGGAACCTGCCCCAGTCTGACAAGTGCCGTGCGCGGCAAAAGAAGAGCTCTCAGACAAAAAGTAAGAAGAGCGGCTTGCTGCAGGCTGAATGGATCACGGTGGAAATTTCAAACGCCGGTAGTTGATGTGAGTCTTTGGTCAAGTTGTAGCATATCGTTTCTGCGTTTGCATGTCCACAGCTCGGCCGTGACCTCAGTCAGCAGATGGAAACGTTGATCAGGCACAGCGGGCATAGACATCAGAGATTAAATACTGAAGCTCTTTGTGAATTGTATCCGTTCTTTGGGGGGAGATTTCAAGACATGAAGTAAGTAGACTGACACCAAACAAAGCTGTCGATGGGATCGTCTTGACAAGTCGGTTGTAGAGACAAAAGGGGACAGAATAATGGCAAAGAAGGGCATCCTACATGGCTTCCTAAGAATTTTCCTCGTATCTGCATAAAATGCTTGTATTCAATGACGAAGAAAGCGAACGAGTAATGAATATGGCCGAGCTGGTCACGGGCTTGGAAGGCAATTAAATCTGGGCGAAGACTACAATCATCATACACCCCTTTTCTTCTTCGCTATCTTGAACTTAGCTCCTCAAGTACAAGACGATGCTAATATCAACGGGACTTTTCGACCGCAGCTCTGACTACTTGGAAGAGCCCTCTCCGGAGCTTTGCAGTCCCCAATCCCCAGTCCCAAGAACGATGTATGCGGAAACAGTCTAACCTCCTGTGCAAGTCCAATCTCTAATTCCATCCAGCTGTGGCAAAATTCACCACCAGGAAGCTCGCCCAGAGAGGTCACCGCGTTTCTAAACCTCAAATCCAGCATACAGAACCTTCTCCATCATCCCGGCCGCCGCCCCAGCCTCGACCTTGGTCTCGCTCCCACAATCCCCAAACTCCTTGGCCTCCTCAAACGCCTGCTGCCAAAACTCCCACCTCCTAAACGAGAACCCCGCGCGGCCCTTGAACCGCGGCCCGCACCCCCATCTCTCAGCACTGCTGCTGCTGCTGCTGCTGCCCTTTCTCGCCTTCTTCTCGTTGGATTCTCCCATCCCCTCACTCTTCGTCGTCTGCTGCGGCTCCTCCGCCGGCGACGTCGCCTCAGAAGTCACGGAGAGATGATACAGACGCTGGGACGAGTGGATGGCCCACTGCGCAGCAGCCATGAGCCGTGCGTCGGCGCCGTCGCGGTCATTGGCGTCTGAGGAGCGGCGGTCCTCGAAGGCGATGCGGAGCTGCTGGATGGCGTAGTCGCGGCCGTCGATGAGGTTGTAGGACCAGAGGAGGGAGGCGAAGGCGTTGAGATTGATCCAGCGGGTGAGGGTTTCCGTTCTGTTGGAGGACTGGTACGGTGCTTTTAGGCGTTTGCTTCATGTTAGTAAAGATATTGTTGAGAGGTGCCTTCAGGCTTGGTAGTGTAAGTAGGCTTACAGGTCATGCAGTCTCTGATGACTTGGTTAAGATGGTGAAGACGACTTAATTGCTCGAAGCCATCCTACAAAGCCATTAGCACCGGCGATGTACAGCCGAATTCAAGCTGGAACTCACTACCGTCACCGTAGCCGTCGTCCTAGGCGACAGAGCTATATGGTCGAGAATCACCACTAGATCAAGCATTGCAATATTCCCAGAGGGTGTCTGTTGCGCCAACCCCACAAATAACTTCCACACAGACTGTAAAACATCATCAGAGGGCCGATGTGCTGGTATCAGGACCGCAATCTCGACCGCGACCTTGTGGAGCCTCTGCGGGTCGTTCATCTCTGAAATGATGGCCCTGCGAATAATCTCAAACGCCGCAGCATCGTCAAAGTCTGAGGCATCTGGTGTGTGCTTCCACCGTACGACTGCCATGTTTCCTCCTGTGACATCGGCCAGGAATTCTTCAGCGTTGAGAGCACGCTCCATGGTTGGTTCGAAGCAATAAGTCTTGATGAGTTACTGTGGTGGTTCAGGTTCCGGCTCGGGGAGACGCGGAATCACGATCGTGGGGTCTTCGGGAAGAATTCCGGGAAACAATAGTTCAATTAGACGTCTTCTTGCAGGTTCTGTGACATGTGCTGCTCCCAGTCAGGGATGTATGCCCCAAGCTTTTCTGGAGAAAGTGATGAGGTCTCGAATTTCGCGGATGGAAATTGGGGAAGAGGAAGCATTGACTTTTAAGACGCCTAGCTCTCTCTATGTTTGCATGGATGGCGACATGGAAGAGTGGTGTTGATGAGCTACATCCTCGGTCATCACCATGAAGCTGCATCCACTAATAGGTGCGCCGGTGGGTTATGCGGGGAGGCAGGCAGCTGGCATCGGCAAACCGGCTTTGTGGAGGCCCGCACGTACCAAAGAAGAACGTCCGTTTGTCGGCATCAGAAAGCCGCTAGATGAGATGGCAGCTTTTATCAGACACTAACTCAACTAGGGCTACTACCATCAGCATGAAGCCCCCATTGTTGGCATTGCATACATCAGAGAAGCAAAGGCTGGTCAAGCCGGATGCCGGGTCTTTTCAGAGTGACTTCGAGACATGGATCTGGCAAAAGGCTTTCACGGTGTAGATCAAGGATAAGGGTAGACATGAAAGTCCTATGAGGTGCGTCCTAGTTATGACAACGGGATGCCTTTCTGAAGAACCACAAACTTAATTTTCTGCTCATACGAACCTCAAATGATGGTCAAAGAGGTTCAAAAGATCGGCTTTTACTCTGTCCTGTTGCAATATGCTACGTACCTTGAGGGTTTCATTGATACAAAATCTAGCCGCAGACAGGAGAACACGCCTGGTTACGGTGAACAATAGTTAGATATCAATGCTGAACGTAGTCGCCGAAAGTCAAAGGTTTTGCTGTTGACGAAGGAGAATATGACCTTTCGTGTGGTGGTCGTAAGCGATCTGATCTAGCTGAGACTACATCCAGCCTTCATAATCGACCAGTCAAACCATAGAATAACCTTATGTAGCAATCAATTTGAAGATAACGAATGAATGAGAATTCTGAGCTGATGGAAAGGGCGGAGGCATTTCGGTGCCCGATGCCAGCTACACTGAATGTTCATCAAGTCCCTGATGGCCATCCACAGCAAGGCAAGAAGAGGAAGTATGGTCTTTCTCCGAAGCATAACTTTTCTCCGAAACAACACGCCCAGGAATGATCTCCTGGATAGGTCCTGCTCTAACCCATGAAGTATGTAGACTCAATAGAGAAAGAGCAGACCATTGATCAGCTCGATCGTCAACTTCTTCGTCATCATCCTTGCCAATCAGCAGCATCGTATTCGCCATCACTTACATTGGTGACTACGCGGAAAGCTACTAGCCACCAACTAATATACCTCAGCATGTCCTCCCTAGGTCTTCCAGGCCCCTTTGATAGGCCCCCGGGAGACGCTGGCCTCCATCGGAGCTGGAACGCTTTTCTCGACAAGCACAGCCTCCGAAGCATCTGGCAGACAACCCGTGCCGATATTAACGACCTCTGCAAGACCGCGCTCTTAGCTCTGCAAGTCTCACGGAGCCAGCAGATTGCTCTCGAGGACTCCATCCTCGATCTCTGGGATCATATGGGCCTCACGGTGGACTGTCTCAACCCAGACGCGAACTTGTTGTGGAGAGCCGATGAACAGCTCGTCAAACCCACGGCGCTGCGGCTTCAGGAGCAGCGACAACACCTCCAGGTACAGATGGATATGTGCCAGAACGAGGCCCACTGGGACCCTGTGTGGCTTGAGTTAGACATGAGCACCATTCCACCGACTGTATTATCTAGCGAGAGACCCTCCTCTCTGACCGCCGCCGTCTCGGAAGAGGATACGAGTCTGAATAAGCAGGAGGAGGAGGAGGAGGAGGAGGAGGGGGACGTGGAAGAGAGTAAGGTACTCAGGGTCGCCCGGTCGCTGGCACACACGAGGTACTTCCTCGGCCACACAGCGGGAGACCCAATCTTCTCCTACGATGGACGGAACTTCGCCTATCGTGGTCGCGTCCCCCGCGATCCCAGGGAGGATGTCATGCGCTTGCAGATACTCCTTCCAAAGGTTCTCGCACAGGTCGTGACCCTCATGGCATTCTCCGCCGCCTCCTCCTCTTTGACTCTGGATTTTCCAGCAGAGTGCACGGAACTGCTGAAAAGGGTCGACGATCCATCTGATGAGCTCCTCTTGAGAATCTGCACCTTGTGGATGTTGAAATTTGGTGGAGGCTTCCCGGCGACATACGCGCGCTTCCTCGACTCCAGTCCAGTCGTACGGGAGTTTGCCTGGCTCGTCTGGGACATGTACAACGACGCTGACGGGCTCTGGTCCAGAGATACAGCCCGGAACATCGAGAGTTTGATCAAGACCTTGAAGCCCCTCTTCATGGTCTTGTCATTCAATCGAAGTCTAGTCCCAGTGTCGCCAGGTGCAGTGCTGAATAATCTTGCGAGATCACACCAAGTGGAGGACGAGATGGAGGCTAGAGAACTCGTTTTTGAGCAGAAGGAGTACAGTGTTGCTTTGGTGTATGATGCATCAATCTGCCAGGTAAGTCGCGAAGGAATTCCTAATCCCCAGGTCCCTGCTTCTTCCTCTTTCCCTGTCGTCGAGGATGGTTTACATGGCAAATGGAAATAGTGTAGATGATTGTGGATGGCGGATGACTTTCACAGCTCCAAGTTGTCTAAGCAGGGTCCGCTAAAATGTTACGCCCTGCAGGGGTCTCAACTCCCCCATCCCATCCACTCCCGCCTGCAGGCACAAGCCAGCTTACAGAGCCCGGATAAATCATGCTCCATCTTCCATTCCCCATTCCAAAATTTCCCACCGAGCTTCATCGCCAGACCTTCACCTTACTAACGACGATCCCCTCGATAGTCAATCCACTCCCTTTACGCAAAATACGTGGGAAGACACCACCCCGACGCTGGCGCTCTCTTCCTTCGAACAGCACCGCGACATCTCTCCCTCGAAAACGACTACCACGACGTGTTCGCCAACGTTCCGATCCCCGACGAGGTCGTAGCCGCGCACCACCGAATCAAACTACGGTATCTCGACGATCCAGAGCCCGAAGCCCAACACGCTCCTGCAGTTGACCACCCGGTCGTGATTGAAGACCACACCCAAGCCGAGATAGTCGTTGCAGGATCCAAGCGCAAGAAGCGTCATCAACAGCAGCGCATAGAGAAGAACGAGACTCCTCGCGTCGCAAATCCGGAACCTCCGCTCAAGAAACGACGAGGCCGCCCTCCAAAATACCGCCCGACACCTCCCACTTCCGATCCCGTCAACGATTGATATCCCAGCCTCGTCACAAGCCGTCACTTAAGACTCAATCCCCCTAAAATCACAACAATGGCCTCCTTCGCACCTCTCCGCAGCGGCCTCCGCCAAACCCTCACCACCTCCACACCCGCCGCCGTCACAATGACCACCACGACAACCCGCTCCCTCTCAACCACAACCTCCCTCGCCGCCCGCAAATCCAAGTCGGACAACGTCATCAACCCAGAATACGTCGCCCGTATAGCAAACATTCGTCAGCAGCTCTTCGCTGAGGCGCCCCCGGCGCTGCGCATGGCTCGCAACCGCCATCTCCGCCACTGGACCATCCACCGCGCCTGGCTCCTCCTCCAGCGTCAGCAGCGTGAGGCCCGCGAGAGGGAGCTCCTCCGCATCCAGCAGAGCATGTACACCGCCAACGAACAGCTCCGCACCACGGCTGGTCCCGGAACCAGGGAGGAAGGGTGGCTGTACCGTGTCGCCCAGGAGAAGAAGGGCGTCTACGGACCTAATGCCGTGCCGATTGAGTACGCGCGCTACCAGAGCGAGACGCCTGCCCGACAGGCGTGGAACCACGAGTGGAAGCGGTAGATGATGCCTTTGCAAGAAGACGAGCAGGAGTGGGAAAATAAAAGAATGAAAAAGGGGGGTGGACAAGGTCTTAAGGGGTTTGCTCATCAGCCGTGTACCAAAAATCTAGACACGCCGAGTGTCAATTCCGCTGTAGCATACTATCTGTTGTATGAACTAGTGTACAAAATGGAAGAAAAAAACACATGTCACTAATTGACGTTTTTGGAAAGGCTCTGGATCAGGGGGGGTGGAAACTTTTAATCGGTTTTATTGCGTAAAGTGACTGCCATCTCTCATTGACAGAGAGCAGAACGTGGATACTCCAAAGCTCCCAAATAACCAGCTTCCTAGTCTTGAACTTTTGGGTGCAATCGTTCTATGTGGGTTGCTGTCCTATTAATACAGACAATGGAAAGAAAAAAAGGGCTAGTCCCTTAGATTCTTCCATAAATAACGTTTCCGCTGAGTGTTTTGCGCTGTTCCTGCTGTTTGTAACGCCGCTTGAGGGGAAGAAAAGAGAGAGAGAGGATTAAAGTTGAACTCGCATGCTTTTTCGCGATAGCTGTAAAAGGTGTGTGAACCAGGCGAGCTTGTTGAGAGTTTGAGGTACCGACCAAGTGACATTCAGCCAGGCCTGTTTGGGGCCCTTTTTGGGTAAGCCAGCTGCCCAACAATGTTTGTGGGAGCTGGCTGAGGTGATTCTGTGCCTCTTGGGTCGGACCCGGCGTGATGTTCACATACGGTAAGTAGCCCGCATTCTCATGGTTCTGTGATCCAGCCTGATTTCTCCAGCAAAAATTCGCTCAGGATTACCTCAGTTCGCTTGCGTCGTGCCTGCACTCATTGTCGGTCGAAAGGGCAGAATAGTGAATGATGGATGGGGCTTTGCTTCCTTCACAGAATGACGCAGCAGCCGCCTCCCTCGCCCTTCTCGAAGGTCAACAAGGCGGCGCGAGTGGCGGCCTCAAAGACATCGTCGACGCCCTCGCCGCTCAAACTGGAGCATTCGAGGTATTTCCGGGCTCCAATCTCCTTGGCGGCAGCGTCGCCCTCTTGGTGTGTGACAAAGCGCATCGACTTCTTTCGCATTTCCTCAATCGCTACGGGGTCTTCGCGGAGATCCTTCTTCAGTCCAACGAGGATGATGGGGACGCCTTCGCAGAGTCGGGTAACCTCTTCCACCCACTGTAGCCTACTGTCAGCTGTCCAGCCCTAATATCTTGAAGTACCTCAATCATTTTCAAACCCACCTTGTGCTTGACGTTGTCGAGTGAATCGGGCGTGTCGATGGAGAAGCCGACCAGGATGACGTGCGCCTTGGAGTAGGCGAGGGGACGTAGCCGCTCGTAGTCCTCCTGTCCGGCGGTATCCCATAGCGCAAGCTGCACCGACTTTCCATCTACTCTGCAATCTGTGACGTAGTTCTCGAAGACGGTAGGAATCTAAAGGGTCAAACTCTCGTTAGGAAATCGGTCGTTGGGGCGAAGAGAGGAGTCGCCAGTGGTACTCACGTAGTGCTGCAAAACACCAATTGTTAGCAAAGATCCTGAGACTCGAGATCAGATCATTGGGGAGGATTATTAAATTGAACATACGGTAGGGAAATATCCAAGTGTGAAGACGCTAAGCAAACTAGTCTTTCCGCAAGCACCGTCCCCTACAATGACGAGTTTCCTGGAGGCAGCATGTCAGCAAGCAAAGAGCAGATAAGATGGGTTACAGAAGTCAGGCTGCCCCTGCTCGGTAGAACCAGGCAGAGATGTTGAGAGCTTTGCACGTGGCCAGCAAGAGGGCGTGGCCAGCGGCGGAGACCGACGAATATCTAGATCGATGGGAATCGAACAGGCGACGTACCTCCGAATAACGTTGGTGGGATTTGCTGCTGCCATGGCTGCGGTTGTGGTTGTGGCTGTGGTTGAGAATCGGGCGAGAGGGTCGTCGGGGGGAAGAGGATAGGCGACCCGAAGTCAATTGACGGGCGGATCGAGGTTCGGTTCGTCCGAGCCGATTTTCGACGTCGAGCACTGCGGCGTCGAAAAGATCGAGACGAGGCCCAAGAAAATATCGTGGGCGCTGCGAGTCGAGGGTGTTAAACGAAGTCGTCGATAGTGGCGATCGGTGGGTTCGTCTTTTTGGGATCCGTACGTCGCAGGGTCGTATCGGGGTGGGAGCAGGTAGCAAGCGTCGGGGGGCGGAGAAGGCGACAAATGGGATTGTGCCAGTAAACAATGTTTAGGTGTTTGAGGAGGTGGGTGCCGCGGGATCAATCCGTTCGTCTCCTTTTCTGCGCCGAGTGGAGATATGATCTCAAAAAGGGAATGCGGAGTGAGTGAGTAATGGCGGATATGTCGGGAGGAAGTGGAAAGAATGGAAAGGTGATGAGGAAGAGGAGAGAAGGAAGAAAGTTGTGGTGGTCGTGGGATGTGTGGTGGACGACGACAGTGAGCTTAAAGCTGTTGGCAATTGGATTGCAAATGTACAACGGTAAGGTACTCCGTAGTGGAGAAAGATGCAGCTGGAAAGAAACGGGCCCGAGGGTCAGTGCAGGCCGATGGGAAGGAACGAAAGGCCGATGGGCGAATACCTTCTTAGATACCTTTGGTGCGGCGAAAGGGGGGGGGGGGGTTGGTGTTCCTTGTATCTTTTTTTTCTCTCTCACCTCTCGTCTCTTCCCTTTCTTTTCCTTCGTTCCCGGGGAGCAGCCAACTGGAACGACGATGTGACTGAACGGCTGATTCGGGGGTAAACAGGAACTGGTGAGGCCGGGCGTTGCAGCTGGGCTGGGAATACGAGCTGAAGAAATTCCACGGGGGGTAATCGCGCGTTGAAGAAATGGCAAGGGAAAGGACCCAAGTATGTATGCTGCCCGTAGTACGGATACTCCGTACAGCTACAAATAGGAATACCTGTGTAGGAAAACCGAAGAACTAACTGCTAGAGCCGGAGCTAACTACTAGACAGACAGGCAGACAGACGGGCCAAAGGGGGGACTTGAGAAGGACAATGTGGCCCGGGGTACGGAGGACGGAACACACAGACGGGCGAGCGCGAAAGTGACGGGCGGTATCCCACCGTTACTCGCAGTTCGTTGCCAAGCTTGTTTTGTTTCTTGCTGCTTTCTGGATCTTGGCGAGTTGATCAATCAATTCGAGTGTCTGTTTCCTCATTCGAGAATGCTGATAACTAGTCCGAGAGAGGGCGTAATAATGGACAGATAGATGCTTTGAGTAGAGTGAGTAAGAAAATATAAGAAAATAAAACACCAGCTAAGGGTCTTTTGTAAACCAGAAGAGCAACAGGTCTACTGAAGTACCTTGGCCAGGTATCCATACAGCAACAAGAATCGTCTGTACTTTTTTTCATCTTCTGAAATGTTTGCTTGCGTAGCTACGTATCGCGTACCTTGCAGCCAGAAAGAAACACAAAACCGGGACATGGAAGTCCACCACGGAAGCTACCCTGAGAATGGACGATGCTCTCTCTACCAGGGCAGTGCGGGTTCCCTCAACTCAATTCTCTTTGGACTCTGTCACTCTGGACCTGAGTTCTGGTCTCTATCTGCCCAGTGTCCAGGACCATGGCGGTTGACCTAACAAAAGTGCGGGTGCGCCAAGCGGCGCGTGTTGTGGCACAGCAAATACCTTACCTTAGCACTTTTCTGTCCACAGGGAACATTGAACAATACCACCAAGGACAGAAAAAAAAGAGACGATGACACACGGATGGTACCGTTTCTGGAGTTGAGGCCCGTCCGGCCCAGACCCTCACTCAGAGTCCTTACCCAGCCCCCAAACTACGGCAGGCCCATCAATGTCCGGTCCTAGCACCCCAGTGTCTTCGTTTTTGCTTGCCGGCGCCCTCCCCGTCCAGGATAGTCCTAGATTGCTGGATGCAAAACGCTTTGCTGTTGACGCGGCTGGGGAGGGGGAAGAAGGCAACAGGTCCAAACCTCTGGGTGATGGTTCAACCGTCATCATCAATGACTCTCTCTCTTTCTTGCTCTCTCGCACGAACCAGTCTGTGATCCCACGCCATTATGCGGAGCGATGACAGACAGGCGGAACTCTGTCTAGTCCAAGGTCGTAAGGTACTACGGATACTACCTTACCCTGAGCTCTCCGTCAACACTGAATTGGCCTCGATTGGCCTTGGCCCTGGAAGGGCCATGTCGTAACTACGGTACACGTATTCCAAGATCGTTATGCGACTTGCTCTAGGTTCCTAATCTGCTATGATAGACCAGCAAGGCGAGATCGAGACCACGAATACTCGCATTCTCTCAGAGAGATGGTCAGTATTCCGCTTGACGTATGATGTATCTACCTTTCAGAGAAATGCTAAATCAGTTTGGCAATGACGATCCGAGATACGGGCTCCGTCCCCAAAGACACCCTTTGAACGGACGTTTTACCGCTGACGGCTGAGCTAACCTACCCGACCTCCGGGCGCCCCTCCATTTTTTCTTGCGCCGCCGTGCGCCCAGTTTTCTAAAATAAGGTACTCCCGATCTGTTTCCCCCCCAATCGTCCGCCCCTTGTCCTGGACATCCCAAGTTCCTGGACGCAAAGACTGTAGCTTGAAAGACAATGGGACACAGCAAAAATCGTTGCCAAGGTTTCTTCAGACGTCGATCGCTGACTTTGAATGGTTCTTGACTTGTAGCGTTCTAGATTTCCTATTGTAGATTGATGTTGCCCATTTACGCGGCACGAGACTCCTCCTGGCTAGGAATTGAGTTGAGAATCTGTCATCAAAGTCATCGTCAGCTACTTACATCATGTCGTACGTACCTCCACGTTTGAGAAGTCAAGAAGAGACGGAGAAGGGAAGAGGACGTTAAAGCATCAAGCATTCAAACATCGGATGGCCGTAACGGCACCGATTCCGCCGGCAAGCCGTATGTCTCATCCTCTTTCATTCCCAAGTCATTAGTATTGAACCGCCACCGGGCACTTGTTTTCCGAATCATAATTCCCCGTCCCATCCCATCCCATCCCGCGCTCCCAATCCGTCATCCG